CCTCATTGTCATATTAATTTGCATCTCTCTGATGATTTGTGATGTTGAGCATTTTTTTCATATGTCTCTTGGCCATTTCTGTGTCTTCTTTGGTCTTCTGTCCATTTTTTAATTGGATTGTTTGTTTTTCTTTTGTTGAGTTGTATGAGTACTTTATATATTTTAGAAATTAACTCCTTATCAGATATATCATTGGCAAATATGTTCTTCTATACAGTGGGTTCCCTTTTCATTCTGATACTGGTTTTTTTTGCTGTGCAGAAGCTTTTTATTTTGATGAAGTCCATTTGTTTATTTTTCCCTTTGTTTCTCTTGCCCTAGGCAATGTATCGATATAAATTCTACTACGTGAGATGTCTATAATCGTTAACTTCAAAAGAAATCATCAGGTTCCTCTCTTTTGATGTTTAAGCAATTTCCATTTCCATTAACAAGACAAAAGTGTTCATTACTACATAATCTTGACAGTGGGATGTACTGTCAAACTTGTGAATTTTTGTCAAGATGATGGACTACAAATGATTTCTCAGTGTACTTTTCTCATTATGATTAAAGCAGAGTATTTTTCATATGTTTAAACACTATTTCTTTTCTGTAACTTATTTATATCATTGTTTGTCATTTTCCCCTCAAGAGAACTTTACATACTAGTATTGGAGAAATTAGCTATTTGTGACATTAGTTACAAATATTTTTCCCAGTTTACCATTTTTTAAAATATATATTTTTATTGATTTCAGAGAGGAATGGAGAAGGAGAGAGAGAGATAGAAACTCAATGATGAGAGAGAATCATTGATCGGCTGCCTCTTGCATGCACCACACTGGAGATTGAGCCCGCAACCCTGGCATATGCCCTGACCAGGAATCAAACCCTGACCTCCTGGTTCATAGGTTGACGCTCAACCACTTAGCCACACTGGCTGGGCTCAGTTTAACATTTTTAAAAGAATTTTATTTATAGTGTTTATTTTGCCAAAAGTAAGGATATAAATTTTTTTTATGTAGTCACATTTAACATTATTTTTGTTAATTTATGTCAGCTGGGTTTTGAGTCACATTTAGAAAGGGCCCCCAAATGAAAACATACATTCAGTTCCCTCAAATAAATTTTTATGTTTCAATATTTTCATCAAATTGGTTGTCTTTTACTGTGTCCAGGTCTAATTTTATCTTTGTTCAAATGACCATTCATTTGCCTGAACCTAGGAAAAAGTACCTCTTTAAATTATATAATTCTCATAACAGTCCATTTTTTGGACTTTCTGTTCTATCAATGATCAGTTTATTCAAGAATCAATATCATGTTTTCTCCACTTCTCTTGGGAGATTTTTTTGTCTGCTTTTTGTGTAAATCCTTTAAGACTGTTTTGTAACTATGCTTTATATTTTCACTGCTTATAGCCTTAATTCCTAAATTTTGACATATTATTCAATATTTCTATGTTTTCCTAAGTACAACTAGAAAGAGTATCACGAGTTGATTATGAATGTGGGGTCTAGCTTCAAAATGCCTTCTGTGACATTGCCCTTAGACAATTCATTTAATTCTAATGCCTTCATTTCCTCAACTTTAAAGACAATAACCATAACCTTAATAACAAATAATGGTAATACATTATATTAATAATATTGTTAATTATAATTCATGGAGTTCTTATGAACAGTAAATACATTATTAAAACCCATATCTGGCACACAATAAATTCTGAATCAATATTAGCTAGTATCAGTAACTACGGAAAATGTTAATTAGTAGTTATATTTGTTTCTGATTGCTGCTGTAACAAAGTACTACGCATAGCTTAAAACAACATAAAGTTAATTATCTTGCAACTAGTGGCCTGGTGCATGAAATTCGTGTGTCGGGGGGAGTTTCTGTCAGCCCAGCCTGCACCCTCTCCAATCAGGGACCCCTTGGGGCATGTCTGACTGCCAGGCATGGGACATTCCTCTCGAAATCTGGGGCCGCTGGCTCCTCACTGTTCACCTTTCTTCCTGCCTGATTGCCCCTAACTCCTCTGCCTGCCTGCCTAATCACCCCTAATTGCCTCTGCCTGCCTGTCTGATCGCCCCCAACTGCCCTCCCCTGCCAGCCCAATTGCCCCCAGCTGCCCTCCTCTGCCATCCCGATCACCCCCTAACTGCCCTCCCCTGCCAGCCTTATCCCCCTAACTGCTCTCCCCTGCTGGCCTGATTGCCCCTAAACGCCTCTGCCTCGGCCCCGCCAACATGGCTTTGTCCAGAAGGACATCAAGAAGGTCTCCAGAAGGTCTCCTGGTCTAATTAGCATATTACTCTTTTATTAGTATAGATTCTGGAAGTCAGAAGTCTCATGGGGCTAAAATCAAGGTGTTAGCAGGAATGCCATCCTTATAGAAGCTGTAGGGAAGAATCTGTTTCCTTGCCTTTGCATTTAAAACTTTATCAGTTGACCTCACAGAAGCAGCACTGTAAAGGTCAGAAAATGTAGTCTAGCTCTTGGTAGCTTCAAGTAACTGTCTTATGTTCATCTTTTCTGGTCATTTTGTACCTGATGACCATCTCATAAAAGAGTCATATGAGATCAAAATATTTGGGGATGAGTGGGAGCCAGAAATGCTGGCAGGAAAGAATGTGAACCACTGGTGAAAGCAACATGCACCTCTGTAGGGTCTAACGAAAGGAGAAAAACTTTATTTTTTCCCTGAAGATATAATGGAATTATTGAGCTGGAAATCAGATGATATGTAATATGGTCTAAGTTAATAGTACCAGCTTGGAACCTTAGATAACTGACGATTTTTCTAAGTCTCAAGTTGTGTGTGTGTGTGTGTGTGTGTGTGTGTGTGTGTGTGTTATAACAGAGGTAGTAATGAACTTAGTGTGTGTGTGTGTGTGTGTGTGTGTGTGTTTTGAATCTCTATAATAGAGGTAGTAATAAATTTAGTATTTATTTTGAAGATAGTGCTGTTCTTTTCAACCAGGCATTTCCTTGGATATTAAGATGTACTTTATTGTACCTTTTATGAGTTATACAACTTGCAAAGGCAATAATAGGGTATTGTTAATCAAATGCTCAGGCGAGCATGCTGTAGCCTTTGGTACTTTCTGAAGTTCAGTTTAAATCTAGACATACAGTTGAGCACCACCGAGCCCTATTGATATGGGAAGTCAGCATAATAAACATCTCTTAAGAACAGAAAAAAAGACAAAGATTAAAATTTATCATTTTCTTTTGTAAATAAGTAAATTATATTTTGAGCAACTAAAAAAGCTTAAGTTCCTATCATATAACTCAACTGGGAAATTCCTTATATAAGTAAGTAGTCAATTTAAGGAAAATAAAAATAGAGATTTATGTAATGATTCTATAACTTTTGAAGCCTATTTTACTGGAGATAAAACAAAGAAACAGAAAGCAAATAAAAATATGTAATAAAATGTGTTTTATTTTCACTCTTTAAAGTAATTCTTAATCTCCTTAGAGCAATTCAGGAAGCCTCCCCATAGACTTTTCACACTTGGGGAAACAAAGTGGTAGAATTATTTAAAACTTTTTATGGTTCTTTATGTTTAAAAATATGTACAAATATATATGTATACAAGTTACAAATATTAAGAAAAATCAGTAGGTTTTCATATTGTTGTAATGTACCCCGCTGTAATATACCCCGCGAATCACAGAAGGACGCCTCAAGAAGTCGAATTAAAGAGTCACATTTATTGCAATCCGGGACTATGAGGGGACATTCCCAAATCTCATAGTAATAAGATGGTGGCAAAACCAGACTTATATATGCAAAAATCACAAAGGTATTGATTACATCCCAGGGTTTGGAATGAGGACCCTGGTTTGCACAAAGCAGTTACAGAAGCAAGATTGAGCAGATTAGTTATCTACAAAGAATATTTATAGTTTTGGGTCTTTGGACCACTGAGTTGACAGAAACACATTATCTAGAGCCCTCGGGTCTTGGGACCACTGAGTTGACAGAAACACATTATCTAGAGCCCTCGGGTCTTGGGACCACTGAGTTGACAGAAACACATTATCTAGAGCCCTCGGGTCTTGGGACCACTGAGTTGACAGAAACACATTATCTAGAGCCCTCGGGTCTTGGGACCACTGAGTTGACAGAAACACATTATCTAGAGCCCTCGGGTCTTGGGACCACTGAGTTGACAGAAACACATTATCTAGAGCCCTCGGGTCAATAACCTGTCCATTGTTAAACAAAGCAAATAGGTACCATACTTCATTTAACCTGTCCATTGTTAAACAAAGCAAATAGGTACCATACTTCACCTACAGGTAGACTGGTCACTCTGGGGGAAGTGTTCACATAAGAATTCATACTAGGTTTGCAGAATAAAAACACTGCAGTTCTCATTCTCTGGGAAGGCAGTTTGGATAATTTTCTAGGCTGTGTGATATGACATTTAGTTATCTCTTTGGAACCTAATGTTTTTAAGGAGACATAATGGTTCTGCTTCACAATGAACAGATTAGATGAGAGAATGCGCATAAAGTACTTTGTACACTACTTGCTACGTAGGAACTACTGCTTATTGAGGGCTTGGATGAAACAAACTCTGCAAGTTAAAAGCCTCAGAACCAGTGACAATTGAGGCAAAGACAGGGCCATAGACACAGTAATATGAAATCAATTTAACAAAGTAATCTATGACCAAAGGGAAAGATTGTCTATAGCAATTAACCACTTAACAAAAAAAATTAACTACTGTGAGTTAGAAATATCCTTATTTAATGAAGTGAAGTGCTTATTCTGTGCTCAGCACTAATCTAAACACAAATATTTACTCACATAATTATTAAATTACCCTGTAAAAGAAGTGTTAATACTGTCTCCATTTTCCACAAGTGGAAACTAAGGCACAGAAGGGACATATAACTTGCCCAAACCATATATTTAGTAAGATGTGGAGCTGGGATTCTTACCAGGCTGTCTGACTCCAGAGTCATTGCCCTGAGCCATAAAGTTATTCTGTCTCTCCCTCTTTGTCACTGTTTCATGCTCTTATCAATAAAAAGAGGGAGATGTGATTAAAATGATAAGATGAAATAACGGGTGAGTACCTGGAGCTAATGTTCCCAAGCCATCTGTTGCTGTGCCAACTGTTGGGCTCTGTGTATCTCCATTTGTCTCAGTTGCTCCTGATGCTGTCTCTCCCTCTCCTCCATCATTTGCTGGTTCTGCCTTTGAATCTCCTCCAACCTTCGTGTTGCAGCCTCTGCTTTCAAATATGCTTCTAAGAAAGAAGAAAATGACAAACTCCTCTAGGATCAAAGTGTCCCTTCCTTCTGTCTCCGGCTCTTATTGCTTATTACTGCTTCATAGAAAAAATTCTCTGGGGCCATTTTGCCTTTTCAGATGACAGTACACACCCACCCAGATAAAGCTTGAAGAGCAAAAAGTCATCTTTGCCATTCTTGCTCTGGTTTAAGATCCCAGGTAAGCCAGGCCAAATTAATTGAAAATGTACAGAAAGTTCTATCTTGCATTTCTTCCATTTTCCTCTCACCTTTCCTCTCCTTTTCCTTCGCGGTGAGAGCCAGATCTGTCTGTAGAATGGCATCACTCACAGACTCCTTGGACTGTAAATAGTTCTGCAGAGCTTCTTCAGCCTAGGACCCCAAAGCCATACAGTGAAAAGTAGGAAACGGTGATTGGGCATGTTGTAAACCTTTTTATTTATTTTTCTTCCCAGCATCTTTTCCTCCCCAGAACTGCTCAGCGTGCACTCGGTGGAACTGTCAATCAAGCCTCTTCTGTCACAGGAGTGGGCACAAACTCTGGGCTGGCTCATCAGAGCACCCAAGTTCACTGGGTACAAAAGAATTTGGTGCAGGTGAGAAAATGCTCAACATGGATGTTTTAGAGATGGATACCGGTGCTGGGGAAATGCTCTCTCTCCTCTGAGACTGAGGGCAAAAGATCTAGTTAAGCTTGGAGATGGTGTCCTCTTTGCTGCCCTGCCTGAGAATGAAGCCAGTAGGAAAACAGAACAGAAAACTAAGTGGGAGTTGGAAAGAAAAAAAGGAAGGGGGAAATTGATGACATTGTTTAAATTCCTGAAGGTAGCTGTAGTTGCAACTAAATTTAAATGTTTTATGTAAGCCAATGAATTACTCTTTTTTCCTGTTCGTTTCAATTACTGCAATTCTGTCCTATGTAACCAAAAAAGTCCCTTTGTTGCAGTGAATGTTGATGGTTGCAGTAAAAGTCTGGTGATTATGGTGATAGTTCAGTTTAATTCTACAGCTATCATTAGAGTATAAATACTTTCTTCCTGTCTTCAATGGATTTTAAAAGAAGCCCTTCCCCACTCCAAACCCCCAACAATTTCCCACAATTAATGCATGAAACAACGAATACCTGTATTCCTTTCCTGGGCTCCTGATAGTACTTTGCCTTCAGCTCTTCTCTCTTCTGAATGAAGAGGCGGTGCCCTCCAGGCTTTGAGTAAACCCCCTGCTTCACATATTCTTCTAGAGGACCAAAAATATCTTGAAGTAAAGCTGAGCAACGATCTGATGATGCCTCCAAGTTCTGCTTACGAAAGTCATCTTGTTTTGCTTCCAGCAGGGTCTTCAAAGGGGCAAAGGCCCATGGAAAAGATGTTCGCAATACTTCAGTATTTCTACAAGTGATTCTCAGAGAGAATCTTCATTGATTTTCTAGAAACTAGAGAACAACAGCAAGACTATATCCTTCCTACCAAGCCTAGGAAAGTTCCAAGGATGTTATGGTATAGAAAAATGACTTTAGTTTTGTTTCCAAATCTCCTGAAACCCATTTCTCTTGATATTTCTGCTTTAGATGTGATCTTCAGACTACAGATATCTAACCTCAAGCCCTAATTTTTTGTACAACCTACTCATTTACAACCATTCCTTGTTTCTGTATTTTCCTGGGCCTTGGACTCCCAACAAGGAGGTGGAGTGGAATAATTGGCTAGAATGATATGAGTGGATGCTATGAAATCTGGAGACATGATATTTTAGTAGAACCATTTGGCAATTCTGTGTACTAAATTAATATAAAAGAAAAGTTAATACTTTATGAATGCAATTTTTAAAGAATAAGATTAATTTTAAAAATTAGTTCATGGGTGTAACATGGTGAGTTGTGTGTGTGTGAAAGTATTAAAATCCATACAACCCAGAGTAGTTACATGTTGTTTGTTTATTTGTTTTCAGAATAAAAGTGATATCTTGATCATATAAGTAAGAGTCATTATTTTTCAGTCTAGTAAGAATTGCTTTTCTTAAGTCCCCATTTTGCATTTCATAGCAATACTTGTATTACATGTAAGCCCCAGGAGCAGAGCAAAGAATATTAATTACCTCTAATTCCTTCTGGAACCTTTGGTCCACATCCTTGAAGGAATTATTGATGAAGACTTCGATGGCTTCCTTCTCACTGGTCCTGTGCAGGTCCAGCAGCTCTTGGAGGTTTTCCGTGGGCAGCTGCACCTTCTGGGCCATCTGCTGGTCATAGTGGGCAATGGCCTTTTGTATTGCAGCTGAATTCTTGATTTGGGCCAAGGCCAAGACTGTATTCTCCATGCTGGGCAGGTTCCCACTGCTGATGGCATTGACATAGGTCAGCACCAGGCTTTCTAGACCTTCACAGGAGAAAGAGATGCTTGCATTATTTGCAGAAAAAGAGGGCATGCTCTAAAATTGGATAGTTCTGAGAATGTTAATTTAACAATGCATTGCCTGAGTTTTCCAGTATTCTGCATAGTGTTCAAGTGGCTAAAATATGTTTTTTGTTTGTTTGTTTGTTTGTTTTGTTTTGTTTTTGAAAATTTTGTGACTAAGAAGCCAGATCTTTCTTTGGGAAAAGAAAGTGTTTAAAGGAGAAATATCAAGCTCTATGTAATCATCCTCATGCCATCCTTTTTCTATTGAGAAATGAGTAAATGGTTAAAGTTATGCCTATTCATTTTATTAGATTGCTATAGGCCTTTCTGGCCTCTTTATTCTTTCCTTTCTTTCTCGCTTCCTCAGGTTTCATTTTCCTTCAGAATTCTCTTTTCTCTTCCACTTCAGTATGTAAAGCTGGTATGAGTATTAGCTTGGAAAACACAAAGTGAGCAAATTAGACTGGCTCACCTTTTATTCTTTGTTAGAACTTTCCTATTTGTCTTCCTTGTCCCTTGCATACTTTTGTTTGCATTCATCATCCTTCTAGAACAGTGATTTTCAACCTTTTTCATCTCATCGCACACATAAACTATTACTAAAACTCTGCTGCACACCAAAATATGTTTGTTTTTCTATTGTCAATCTAACAAAAAAATAGGTATAATTTATAATCATTCATAGTGGTTGGCTATTGTGTTGACTATTGTAATATTTTTATTTGACATTCTAAAGGAAAAGAAGTCAGTGCCCCTGACTAAACAGTCAGGTATTGCATGTTTTAAGAATTATTGAGGCACACCGGTTGAAAATCATTGCTCAAGAGTATCGCAATAATTCATAGAGTTCTGAGGCATGGTGTCTTTAGAAAAAAATCTGGTCCAAGATGTTTGCTTAGATTTCCTTTAAAGCTCTAGACAACCTGAGCCTCTGTTTAATTAATGTTTATATCAAGTAAGTTCCATTTTTACAGAGAACCTATATGTTATCTTGTGCTTATCTAAGGCTGTGACACATAATAAGTATCCAATATATTCATGGAACAAATGTTGCCAACTCATGTGGTTGGTCTAGTCCAGTGGTCGGCAAACTGCAGCTTGCGAGCCACATGCGGCTCTTTGGCCCCTTGGTGTGGCTCTTCCACAAAATACCACATGCAGGCGCGCACATACAGTGCGACTGAAACTTCGTGGTCCATGCGCAGAAGTTGGTATTTTGGGTCTAGTCCAACAATGGACCACTTATGAATAGAACTCTTTAACTTGATCTTTTCTTCAGATGGTATTTCTATTTTATACTACTTTAGAGGCATTACTAAAAAAATCAGTAGGAATGTTTTGGGTACCCATTGGAACTTAATAATGTGATGTATATAATTTTCTTGGTTGTAACTAATGAAGGATTTTCAACATTGACAGTGAAAGGAGAAACTTTTAAAAGCCCCAGTCTTTATGTTGAGTTGAAGGAAAATACTAAGGAAGGTACTCACGAGGTCCATTAACCTTGATGCTTCCCGAAAGAGTTTTTGCCTTGGAATGGTGAAAGATGTAGGAACAGAAATCTGCCACTTGTTGCACAAAGTCAGGATCCAGTTCATTGTTATGAAGTGTTGGAAGATGGGCAAGCTTCTTCCGGTGAGTGGGAGAGTCAAAGACAAAGCATTTCTTTCTTGCAAAGAATGTCTGTATGCAATGACGGGGCAAATTGAAATTTTTATGATTTTCATCAGTGTCTGGGGAAGAAAAAAAATGGGTTTTATTTAGTATAGAACTAGCATTCATTTTAATGTATTTCCCATGAATAAATTTGCCTTTAAACTGATGTTATCTATTTCAACACATCTCTATAAACTCTAAGCAAAAAGTTAAAAGGTAACCCATCAGAGAAAGGAAGAAAGAAAGATAATTTGCTCCAAGAACATTGAGTAATACAATCTCATATTGAATCTATTAGTTCACTTTAAATTAGTAGTGTTCATTATTTATTTGGCATTTTAACCAAGTGATTAAATATAGAAAACTATAAATGTAACCACTTACACACAGAGATCCTATAAAATAAAGAGGTAATATGCAAATTGACCATCATGCCCTTGCACAAGATGGCCACCACAAGATGTCCGGCAGGGAAGGGCAGTTGGGGGCGATCAGGCCTGTAGGGGAGGGAGGGCAGTTGGAGGGTCCAGGCCTGCAGGGGTAGGCAGTTAGGGTGATCAGGCTGGCAGGGGAGGGCAGTTGGGGGCAACCAGGCCAGCAGGGGAGGGCAGTTGGGGGGGACCAGGCCCGCAGGGGTGGGCAGTTAGAGGTGATCAGGCTGGCAGGGGACGGCAGTTGGGGGTAACCAGGCCTGCAGGGGAGGGCAGTTAGGGGCAACCAGGCCTGTAGAGGAGGGTAGTTGGGGGGACCAGGCCTACAGGGGAGGGCAGTTGGGGGTGATGAGGCCTGTAGGGGAGGGCAGTTAGGGGTGACTGGGCCAGCAGGGCAGGACAGTTGGGGGCAACCAGGCCTTCAGGGGAGGGCAGTTAGGGGCGACCGGGCTGGCATGGGAGGGAAGTTAGGGGGGAACAGGCTTTCAGGGGAGGGCACCCTCTCACAATCTGGGACTGCTGGCTCCCAACCACTTGCCTCTCTCCCCAGGCCTTAAAGGGAGGGAAGTTGGGGGCAGTTTAGGCCTGTGGTATTGGGCCTAAACTGGCAGTCAGACGTCCCTCAAGAGGTCCCAGATTGGAGAGGATGCAGACTAGGCTGAGGGACACCCCTGATCCCCCCCTCAGTGCACAAATTGCATGTACTGGGCCTCTAGTATTCTTATATTACTTTTCTCTCTCCAGAACTGAAGTCCCTGTTACCTTCTTTCAGCTTCAACGAGTTCTCCAGGTAGTCATCTGCTGTGATGTGTTTCCCGTCTGCTTCCAGGGAAAGGTAGAAATCTCTCAGAGTCCACACTAAGTCTGGACAGAAGTTCACAGCATCTGCTGCATCTTCAACCCCATCAAGATCAGGTGGAGAAACTGTCCTGAGCTGATTTGACAGTTCTATTACATAACTGAGATATAATTAAGGAAAACTGGTTGGAAATAGGACTGCATCTAAGCCCATATTGCATTCCTTACATCCTTATACCATTATGTTTTCTTTTGGTTGTAACCAATTCTTCATAACATCAGTAAGTATAAGGGCTGTTTTTGTTGTACTTTTAATGTTTATCGCGTTTTTATTTTTGTGTTTGATTCAAAAGGTTCATAAACACAGCTGGTGGATAGAAGAGTTTTCTCTGGCTTTGGTGCCATCCTGGATCATAAAAGGATACTGCAATAGATCGATAGCCCTCTGGTCAATTTTGTTCATGGTGTTGTAAACAAAGGTACTACTCAATAGTATTGCCAGTGCAAAGATCTGAGTATCATTGTTCTGGTCACCCTAGAAGTCAAAACAAATTTAAGTCATGTCTCATGGCATTCCCAGATGAGCAATCATTAAAAATAAGCCCCTGATCTACAATGTTAAATGAACAAACAAAAGTGATTGTGAAAAACATATCACTTTGAATAGAATAGTTCTGTCATTAGCACTGATAATTTTTTATGCTATTATCACTATATTTTAATGTATACTGATACAAAAACATACATGGTAATGACTATTGGATGTCATTGGACATTTGGCATGTTTTTACAAATCTTCCCCTATCTCAACCATATCACCAATGACCAATGAGGGTCCCCTTGCTGGCTGGTTCCAGGTGGAATGTTTGGGTGTCATGGGTTCTGTTGTGGCTGGAGGCTCCATAGTGACCCAGCTGTCCTGTATTGATGGTCTATGAAGGTGCTGTGGTCCTCTATAGAGCTGGGCTCAGGGCCCTTTCTTGGGAAGCTGGGTGAGGAGGCTGTGGGACTGCTGCCCAATGACCAGAGTCCATGCCTCCCTGTCCACGTCCTCCAGTGGGAGATATTGGTGTGTCCACCTGTCATCAGCTTCTTGGTGGGTCTCGTATTTATAATCAGATTTGTTCCATCTGTTCAGAGTCGACCTATGTAAGATGTGAAGTGCACCTGGCAAAGGCACTGGCTGGACAGATGGAGGAGAAATGCCAACTCATTAAGTTGAGCACTGCTAAAGAGAAATGCAAGGGGATAGAGTCATCTTAGGCAATGCCAGGTGTGAGAAAGAGTCATTAAATATACCCTGGCTTGCCAACACTTGCAGAAAGGTGATCACGACCTACTGGGCACTGAAGCAGGAAATTACATTCCTGGTTCATGAACTCAAGGGAGAGAGATCCAAACACTCCAGACAAGAGGAGGAGATGGTAGAGATGCTAAAGCCCCTCAGGTCCCTGGAAGAGGCCGTGAAAATCTCCACTTCACAAGCTGCTGTTCCAAACCTGCCAGGACGCCAGGAGCCACACCCTGATGGTCCCCTCCTCAGAGGTGGACCTGGGTCCTAAAGCAGCACTGTTCCCTCCTCTCCACTTGGGCCTCTCAAGCTGCTAGCTGTGCTGCCTGCTTCCACCTCCACCTGAGGATCCCTGAGACTAGGGTTGCATCCTTAGGCTGGACTCCTCCTCCTCCACATGCTGTACACAGGGGTCAGCTCCTGCTGGATGATTCCTCCACATGTAAAGAACATAAGACTTGCTGCACTCACCAAGAAATGCGGGCTTCTCTATAGTCACAGAATGTTCGATTCTCTCTTAGCAGCTATGAAAGAAATGCTGTCCATAAGAGTTGTACCTTTGACTCAAATTGTCTTTATCAACCTACATTTCTCAGACTTTTGTCATCATTATATATGGTAATCTAAGTCAACATTTATATTTTATTATCTTCTTAACTGTTCCATTTTAATTTAAAAATATATGCAGCTTTGCAATAAAGGCACTTAATTGTAAAAAAAAAAAAGTCACTGAAATTTGGAGCTTTGTACAACATGTAGTATTATCCTATCATATTTACAAAATGGCAAATATAGTATAGGTTTTTCCAAACGAGTTATATAAGGACATTAATTTTTAAGGAAAAGACTACCTACCTAAAAACAAAAGTTTGTTTTGATTAAACTGGAGTTCATTTGCTTATAAATATTAATCAATTATATAACATGCATTAAACTCTATGTAAAATAAAATTTCAATATACATAAATTTTATGTACTGTATGGTATTTTCCTCAGATTTGGGATGACTTGTCTCTCTGGATCCCAGATCATTTGATGCTTTTTTTTAAGTTTTTTTTTTTTTTATTGTTGGTAATATCACATATGTCCCTTATTTTTACCCCACTTCCCCCCTCCACCCAAACCCCGCCCTACCTCAGGCCTTAACCACACTATTAACTGTGTCCTCAGACTATGCATATCCTATATAATAAAAGGGTAATATGCAAATTGACCCTAACAGCAGAACAACCAGTCGCTACAACATGCATTGACCACCAGGGGGCAGACACTCAATGCAGGAGCTGACCCCTAGTGGTCAGTGCACTCTGACAGGGGGAGCTCCACTCAGCCACAAGCCAGGCTGAGGGCTGCGAGTTGCTGCAGTGGTGGTGGGAGCCTATCCCCCCTCCTCAGCAGTGCTAAGGATGTCCAACTGTGGGCCTAAGCTGGCAGGTGGACATCCCATGAAGGCTTTTGGGCTGCCAGAGGGGTGTCTAACTGACAGCTTAGGCCTAATCCCCCAGGGAGCAGGCCTAAGCCGGCAGGTGGTCATTCCCTGAGGGGTCCCAGACTGCGAGAGGGCACAGGCCAGGCTGAGGCACCCACCCCCCAAGTGCACGAATTTTTGTGCACCAGGCCTCTGGTCTCTCTATATAAAAAGCTAATATGCTAAGTGTCTGACTATCCAACTGGCCGCTATGACGCACACTGATCACCAGGGGGAAAACGCTCAACCCAGGAGCTGCCATGATGCACACTGGCCATTTAAAGAGAAACGGCACTGCAGACCTGGTGCCCACAAAGCAACACTCGGCCTCCCCCAATTGGGACACAGGCCCTGCCACCACCTTGGAGCAACAACCCACCAAATCACAGCCCACACAGACTCCATGGTGCAAAATGTGGCCCACAGCCCAGCCCATCCTGGAAACGGTCACTGTGGGCACCGGGTAATGACGTCACGTAGCAATGCCCGGCTTCCTCTCCCTAGCAACTAGCCTCCTTGGAGTTTCTTCAGCCCAGGAATGCGACTTACTTTATAGCCAGGTGCAAACATTCTACACTTTAACCAAATGTCTGTGAAGCCTTTTTCCATGCCTCATCTCATTTGATCCTCACAAAAGTCCTGGGGTAGGTAGGTAGGAGACTCAGTGGAATCCTATTTTCTTTTCATTAGCCAGAAAATGGAGATTTAGAAAGCTTAGAAACTTGACCCGACTGAAAAGAAGCTAAGGAATAGTGGACCTTGAAAATGACTTCAGGTTTTCTCACTGCACAGAATATAGTCAAACACTGCTACAGTTAAATATTTCACCCTTTGTTCTCCCTGTGTGATCTACAATAATAATCTGCTTCATGTTGATATTTACTGCTGTGTTGCTGACAGTTACCTGAAAGATAAGTTGAGGTATTTCACTGGTCTGGAGAAAGTTTAGCTACATCAGAAAGCAAGTCTAATTAAGCAAGTTTATTCTATATCTATAAAATGCTAAGTTGACTCGTGCATGCATGATACATATAAAGCTCTCGCTGACACCCATCGCATGTGTATGTTTCAATCTGTCATTGTCGATTGTGAATTTAGCTGTCACTTCTATTATGGAGAGTGGGTGACTAGTGATATTAAAATATTTCTTCTAATTAATTTTCTTTCAATGTTCATGAATCCGTGCACTGGGCCACTAGTATGCATATAAGTTCTTTGGTTAATCTTTTTCCATCCTTCCCCCTGCCCACTCCCCTCCTCTCTGAGATCTGTCAGTCTGTTCCATGCACCCATGCCTCTGGACCTATTTAGTTCATCAAATTATTTTGTTCTTTAGATTCCACATATAAGTGAGATCATGTGATATTTTTCTTTCTCTGGCTAGCTTATTTCACTTAGCATAATGGTTTCCAGGTCCATTCATGTTCTTGCAAAGGGTAAGAGATCCTTCTTTTTTTACAGCTGCATAGTATTTCATTGTGTAAATATACCACAGGTTTTTTATCCACTAACCTACTGATGGGCACTTGGGCTGTTTCCAAATCTTAGCTATTGTAAAAAATGCTGCTTTGTACATAAAGGTGCATATATTCTTTCTGATTGGTGTTTTTGGATTCTTAGAATATATTTACAGAAGTAGGATTGGTGGGTCAAACGGCAGTTCCATTTTTTACTTTTTGAGGAGACTCCATACTGTTTTCCATAGTGGCTGCACAAGTCTGCATTCCCACCAGCAGTGCACGAGTGTTCTCTTTTCTCTGCATCCTCACCAGCACTTGTTGCTTATTGATTTGTTGATGGTAGCCATTCTGGCCTGTGTGAGGTGGTTCCTCATTATAGTTTTAATTTGCATCTCTCTGATGATTATTGACATTGAGCATTTTTTCATATGTCTCTTGACCATCTGTATGTCCTCTTTGGAGAAGTGTCTATTCAGATCCGTTGCCCATTTTTTAACTGGATTGTTTACCTTTTGTTGAATTTTATGAGTTCTTTATATATTTTGGAAATTAAACTCTTATCAGATGTATTATTGGCTAATTTTTTCTTTGGTACCTTGGGTTCATTTAGGTGATGGCTTCTTTTTCTGTGCAAAAGCTTTATAGTTTGATGTCTCACTTGTTTTATTTTTTTTCTTTTCTTTCTCTTGCCCTAAAAGATGTAAGAAAATTCTGCTACATGAGATGTCTGAGATTTTACTGCCTATGGTTTATTCTTGGACTTTTATGGTTCCTTGAATTACATTTAAGTCTTTTACCCATTTTGAGTTTATTCTTGTATATTGTGTAAGTTGGTGGTCTAGTTTAATATTTTTTTCATGTATCTGTCCAATTTTCCCAACACCATTTATTGAAAATACTGCCATTACTCCATTGTATGTTCTTGCCTCCTTTCAAAAATTAATTCACCAGCCCTGGCTGGTGTTCTCAGTGGTTAGAGTATTGGCCCCAGCACTGAAGGGTCTCGGGTTTGATTCCCTGTCAAGGGCATGTACCTTTTTGTGGGTTTGCTCTCTGCCCCTGGTCAGGCTTGTGTGGTAGGCAACCAGTCTATGTGTCTCTTTCACATTGATGTTTCTATGTCTCTGTCTTTCTGTATCTCTGTCTCTCTGCCCCCCTTTCCCTTCTACTCTCTCTGAAAAGCAAAGGAAAAATATATCCTTAGGCAATGATTAAAAAAATTGCCCATAATGGTACAGGTTGATTTCTGGGGTCTCTGTTCTATTCTATTGATCTATTTGTTCTTGTGTCAGTACCAGACTGTTTTGATTACAGTG